TTCTTCTTCTTCTTCTTCTTCTCTTTCTCCTTCTGTCTCCATTTCCCTTTCCCCTCCTTCCCCTCTCCTTCTCTTTCTCCTTTTTCTTTTCCTTCTCTGGCACTATCCCAATCTCCCTTTCTCCTCCTCCTCCCCTTACCTTCTTCTTCTTCCTCTCCTCCCTCTTTTTCCCCTTCTCTGTTCCCATCTCCTTCACCTTCTCCTGTTTCTTGTCCTACTCCTTTACTTGCCCCATCTCTCCTCCTCCTCCTTCTCCTCCTCCCACTTTCCCTCCTCTTCCTTCCTCTTCTTCTCCTTGTCTTTCTCCCTCTTTGTTCCTCTCTGTCCCCCTCTTCCTTTCTTCTCTTTCTCCCTTTGCAGATGATGGAGAATAATTGTTGCAGACTTCCCCCCCCCCCCCTTGCCAAGCAGTAAATGGAGATTTAAAAGAGAGAATGGAGGTTTGCAATTAGGGGAGGGGGCAGGGTCTGGTCATTTTTAATCTGACATGTGGAGAATTCAGCAGTGTTGACAGTTCACCTTCTTTCTGACTTGTATTTCTCAACCCCAAAGTTCATTTGCAGCCACAAACACAAGCTTTGCTGCCCAGTTCACTTGCATATTTGAGATTTGTCCCACCAAAATGCACGGGAGCAACGGATCGACTAAGAGTAAGATTTTCATCAGTATGAACTGGGACAAAACATCTCCAAAAATAATTTTCTGGAGACATTTAAGATTCTTAATTTTCAGAGAGTCGCCAGTTTGTTAATGACTCCCTCTGCTCCCCATTAAAATATTCTGCAAAATTGTTTCCCATTTGGGTAGCCTATCGATACGGTGGGGGGAGCGGAGGAGAATCTGGGGACAGTTTTCTATGTTCATTTTCTCCCATTTCTTGAAAGACACTTCCATAATCTGCTCCTCTGAACTTTTAGGGAAAAGATGCTTCCTGCCGCAGTTGAGGAGAATGGCTGAGAATCAATACGGTTGACAAATGTATTCGCCACAATCCAAGGAGATCATTCATTCGTCTTCCTTTTTTTCCCCCCTACGTAAAATCAAAAGTTGGAACAGAATTGGGCTTTCGTACTTGTGCTAATGTATACTCCCAGAAGGATCTGTTGAGTAAGAAGATGCTATTTTTGCTAAATTGGTCTCGGATTTTTAACTTATTTTAATGTAAATGGATTCAGCGACAGGATAAAAAAAAATATAACCTAGCTTTCTCTCTCATGGACAGGTAATATAGAGAACAGTTGACCTATTAAAGGTAGCATTGGAAAGAAAATTCAAATCTGGTTCCAAGCCGGGAGAAAAATACTAAAATGGCTGCAGGAAAAAAGATCTCTATTTATTTGCTAGCCAGAAACTTCAGTGACAGCAGCATGTTTCTGGGGTGGCTATAAAACGGGGTTGATAGTAGGTAGGCTTTTATACATTCTTTAGGGCTTTATGATTGAGATGCCTGTTCCTGTGCAAGAATATGCCCTTTAATATTTTAATGGCTGTTGCCAGATTCCTATAGTGTCATGGCTAGCTCTACAGGCAAAAGGGAAAATGCAAATCCTAGGTGTTTTATTTGTCATGAGCTAATCTTGTCAGTTTCTGTTCCTTGCCCGTTGTGTTGCTTATTTGGAGTTTCTGGCTGCTCTTTCCTTATGAATAGAGTGGCCCAGATTTCTCAATGGATGCAAAACATCCATTCCTAAAGACTATCCTCTTCAGGTTTCTGCCTGAGGCTGTTGTCCTATGGCAGGGAGCTTGGAGCTGCTTTCTTCTTTTAAGATGTCTCTCTCTTCTCCTTCAGGGGAAATATTCTGTTCTGCCTCTTTTTAATATTAAGAATAAAGAATATTAATTCTGGGGAGGGAGCAGTGGTGGGTTTCAAAATATATTAGAACCGCTTCTGTAGGTGTGGCCTGCTTTGTAGGAGTGGCTTGCTGGCCATGTGACCAGGTGGGAGTGGCTTGCCAGCCATGTGACTGGGTGGGCATGGCCAACTTGTAAAATGTGGTGAAACTCACTTAACAACGCTCTTGCTTAGCAACCAAAATGATGGCTCAGAAACTCTGGCATTTGAAGCACACAAGNTATAAATGCTAAATAAAATCAAATCAATCAAATGAATGGGGAAAGCCATTAATGTATGATTATACATAGCAAAATAAAGGCTATAATGTAGTCAAGGACATTATAACTGGAATTGGGATTAGGTTAGAGGGGTGGGGGGGTCCTACCGGTCTATCTTTTGGGAAGTGGGAGTGTTAATTCCGTGTCTACTCTATCAAGGTAGTCCCTGCTCGGGCACGCTTCCATTGTGGTGGGGTTCCGCATAGTGTTGATGAGGTGAAGATGTTGAGTAGGCATTTGGCCAAGGTTAGAGGGAGGTATTATTTTCATAATAAATGTATTAGTTGATCATAACGAAATCGTGGGTAGGAGGCTCGTACTCAAAAGAAAACTGTTGTGAGCAGTACTGTTGCTTTGTGCGTGCACACATGCACAGTGAAATTAAAATTGTTCTGTGCATGTGCAAAACTGAAAAACAAGAACTGGCTCCAGCGACTCAGGCTGCCAAACCACTACCAGTTTGGCCAAACCGATCCGAACTGGTAAGAACCCACCAGTGACAAACACACAGTCCTATTGCACCAGTGTGAACATGTTACACCTTGCACCGGCCCTGCAAGTTCATCATACTATATAATTATGATGTTATTTCGCATTCAGGAGTCTGACAGCCCATGGATAAAAACTGTTCTTCAGCCTGTTTGTGTGGCCTGCTATGCTTCTATATCTCCTTCCTGATGATAGGAGGGTAAAGAAGTGCCATCCAGGGTGTGAGTCATCCCTGAGGATTTTCCTCACTCTTCTAAGGCAGCGAGCCCCAGCGATCTCATCTAATGGTGTCAGGGGGCAGCCCACGATGTTTTGTGCTGTGCTCACCATCCTCTGTAACGTCTGTGCTCATCACCCTCTGTCAAACCAGCATGCCATACTGTGATGCAATAAGTGAGGATGCTTTCTATTGTTAGACCAGTAAAAGGAGGTCATCAGTTGTTGTTCCATCCTGTTTTTATGTATGAAGCCACGTAAACTTCAAACACATAAGAAATCCCAGATGAATGACACAGTTTCATTGGGTCGGAGGTGAATGGCTTAAATCTGCTTCCCCACCCCACCCCTGGAATGATACAAATTTCCCCCATGAAATTTTCTTAAGCATTAATAAAATGTGCTGCCTGGCTAAAACAAATGTAATGCTGCCAGTGTTAGATGTTTTACACAACACAAAAAAGGAACAGATTGGAAACAACTGAAGTGTACAACAGGGTATCACCAGTCTTCTCAGCAAGGTGCTGCACTTATCACAGTACGATATCATCTCACCTAACATTTTAGAGATAAAAATAAGAACATGCTCCATCATTGATAATGCTGGAAGCACTGGTATCAAGGCCCACCCACTTCCTCAATCTCCTATTTTGCCTAGTGTTATCCCTTGTTAGAAGCCCTAGATTGTCTTTGGTATTCTGTAGCTGTTTATCCTGAAATTGCCTGTCTCTGTCCCTGACATCTCAGGTAAAGATATCCTAGAAAAAAAAACACACAAATTGTTCCACAACATGCTCTCAACAATTCAAAATATACCTCTGCTGTTTTGATGGCTGAAGTAAATGTGTGAAATGGGAAGCTATTCTATGCGCTGCGTGAGATCTCAGCATAGGGGTGTTTGGATCAGTCTAAATCCAGTCTGCATCAGCAGTGCAATTTCATGTTTTATTCCATTCCATCAAATCTTTTGCAAATCGCTACTTTTGTTCTTAAAAAGAAAAAAAAATTGCTAGGAAATCTGCCTTGGTTTTCATTCATAACTTTCTCAAATGGGAGCTTTGTATACAACTTTCACTGAAGTACACTTTTTAAAAAAGTATTTATTTTGTTGGCTACATGGAACACAAGATTATCTTAAAATAGTCAAGGCAGGAAGCAAAACATTATAACAATCATTCCACAAAGGGTGTAAACATTCTTTCTGTAAAAAAAAAATCATCTTGCACCCAAATTTCAAATGCCTATAAACCATTAAATGTTCTTTTTAATTTCCAGGTTAATGTTGCCAATTTTTAATTCTTGGTAGCAGTCCAATGGCACAAGTTCATAACATAATATTAATAGGGAAAAAACATGTGATATATTAAAAATACAGTTCCATTGACTTATTTAAACAATAACAAAAGGAGAAACAAGTCAGTGACAGGATAGCTTGAATCATACTGACCAAAATATACTGGGGCAAAAGTGCTTATTGTGCTCTTCTTCAGTCTGGGTTTGGGGCCAGCAACCTGTGGCTCTGGAGCTGCATGTGGCTCTTTCATCCCTCTGTTGTGGCTCCCTGTCGCTGGTCGCACCATAATTTTGAGAGGACCTTCCGGTTTGGGGGGGGGGAAGCATGGTGCGCCAGGAGGAGACTCTGTGGCAAGGGGCAGGTTTTCCGGTTGACTCCACAATTGATAGGGCTTTCAGTTAGGACATATAGAGAAAAAAGGATGCCACACTAGGAGGAGACTTGAGAGACCGCCTGCTGCCAATTACCTCCACCAGACCGATTAGATCCCACAGAGTAGGCCTCCTCCGAATTCCATCCGCCGGCCAGTGTCGACTGGCGACTACCCGGAGGAGGGCCTTCTCTGTGGCTGCTCCGACCCTCTGGAACGAACTCCCCGTGGAGATTCGCACCCTCACCACCCTCCNGGGTGTTCAAACTTGACAGCTTTAAGACTTGTGGACTTCAACTCCCAGAATTCCTCCTCTCGCTCTTCATCTTGATGATGTGCGGATGGGCGGGGTGAGGAAGCTGGAACCGGTTCTAAACAGCACTCTAGATTTGTGGAACCTCTTCTATAGAAGAAGTTAGAACTGGCAGGAACCCACCCCTGGCTGTAAAGCACCGTAAACAGGTATATAAATCTAGGTACTATTGCTATAATGGGAAGCGAGACTCCCCAGGGGGCTCACCTGCTCCTGCCGTCCCTTGCAGAGTGTCCCCGCCTCTTTTGGGGCCCGGATTGCAAGGAGCTATGCAGCTGCTACCCCAACGGGCAGTGTGAGGACGTGACGGGCCAGTGCACATGCAACGCCAACCGCTGGGGCCCGCGATGCGAGAATGTCTGCTTGTGCAAGCACGGCAAGTGTGACCAGAAGACGGGCAAGTGCTCCTGCGAGCCGAACTGGTGGGGACCCCAGTGTGCCAGCGCCTGCTACTGCAGCCTCAACTCGCAGTGTGACCAGAAGACAGGCCTCTGCCTCTGCCAGCCGGGCTGGTGGGGGCGCACCTGCAACAACCAGTGCGCCTGCAGCACCTCACCCTGCGAGCAGTTCACGGGCCGCTGCCAGTGCCGCAGCCGCACCTTTGGTCCCCGTTGCGACCGTTACTGCCAGTGTCACATGGGGAAGTGCAACCAGGTGGACGGGACCTGCACCTGTGAGCCAGGCTACCGGGGCAAGTTCTGCCGTGAGGCCTGTCCGGCTGGCTTCTACGGACAAGGCTGCAGGCGACGGTAAGCAGGGGCCTCTTGGGGGTCTCCCACCCCCCAGGGATTCAGAGAGGGAGGGCACATCTGCAACGCTCAGCCCCTACCCAGCCCCTTTGTGCCTTTCCTCAGAACAGTTCAGGGCAGCGTTTCTCAACCATGGCACACTGAAGAGGGGCAGGCTTTAACTCCCAGAATTGTCCGGCCAGCCATGCTTGCCAAGGTTGAGAATTGGCATCCTGGACCACCCAGCAGACCCGCACATGATCTTCCCAGAAAGTTTGGGCAAGAAGCAATCTCTTTATCATCACAGCTCAGATCTACTACTTGTGCCATGTCCATCTTTGGACATTGGCGATCACATTGGCGATCCTATTTTTATCAACAGCCGCACAAAAAAGTGCCACAGAGTTTTGTCCAAACTGGTCCCTTGGATTTTGAAGCCACAATGTTCTTCTTCTGCCTGGACCTCCTTTGCCTTCAATCTTCCCCTGGAGGATTAAGGGAAGGATGCCGTATTTTTCCAGGTGTCGCATCCCATGTCCAACATATTCTAACTTTCGCTTTTTAATGGTTTTGATCATTTCCCTTGGCTTTTCCAGGCGGCTTATCCCTTCCTCATTTCTGACTTTGTCAACCCAGTTTATACATTAACAGTCGCCTGCCAATCCACATAAATCAGCCCTACTGGAAGAAAAATGTTCCTCCTCTTCCTCATCAGCCACCTCCAGACCTGGGGGCTGTTGACTTTCCATCTGAGGGCTGACAGACAGCCCAGGCTCTGCCTTTGTCTCTCTTTCTCTGACAGCTCCATTCCCTCTTCCCCCTTGGAGCTCCCAGGTTGCCTTGATGCTGACCCTGACTCCCATGCCTCCTTCTCCTCCTCTGATTCGGCTGCTGGAGGGGCAGACAGCCAACAAACTACCCGGCCTCATGGCTTTCACATACTCTCTGCTCCATCTCCACAGGTGCGGTCAGTGTAAGGAGCTGCAGCCGTGTACAATTGTGGATGGCCGTTGCCTGGCCTGCGAAGTTGGTTGGAATGGCACCAAGTGTGACCAGATCTGCTCCCTGGGCTTTTATGGAGAGGGCTGTGAGCAGATCTGCCCTCCCTGTAAGGATGGCCACACCTGCAACCATATCAACGGGAAGTGTTCCCACTGCAATCCAGGCTGGATTGGAGACAGGTGAGTAGCTGATTGTCCCTGAGTTCCAAATATTGTCCTTGATCGTATCCTGCCTCTGATGTGTTGGTGTATCTTCCCTTTGCAGCCCTCAGGGTGACCAAGCCTAAGAATTCATCATGCACATGTATGAAATACTCTACACATGTGTGTTTTGGGTTCTAGATTACCCCTTCAAGGGATCGCTCAGCCTTTATTTGATCCCAGATTAATTCATTGCTGCTTCTTCAGAACCTGATACTCTTAGCCCAAATTACCACATTCATTATTCCAGGGCCTCCGTCTTCTTAGAATTAGAATTAGAATAGAGCTGGAAGGGATCTTGGAGGTCTTCTAGTCCAGCCCCACTACTCAAGCATGAATGATGGGAAACTATCTTCCAATGATCTTCTCAGCTGTCCTCACCACTCTCTATAGAGACTTTCTATCTGAGGCGCTGCGTCCACCAAACCAAAGAGGGATGCGGTTTGTGGTTAAAACATTCTCAATTGTGCCTCTATAAAAAAATGTTTGGGACAGAAAGAGAAAGATGTGCTCTTCTCATCTGATGCAGGAAATGCCGATGCAGGTTTGCATGCTTCACTAAGGATGGTGTGTGGAGACACCAATTCAGATTGTAGTTATCTTCATCCCTAGATACTTAATACTGTTGACCACCTCTACAACTGCATCATTGATAGAGTGGAGTATGGCTGTGCCAGCTCTTTCTAAAACCTCCTGCAGCCAGCACCCCAAAGTCAACCCCTGAACCCCCAAGTAGACGAAGCCCTGTCTCCACTACCCCCTGTTTGTCTTGCTGCCCTTTTCTCCAGGTGCCAGACCAAATGCCGCAACGGGACGTATGGTGAGAACTGTGCCTTCGTCTGCAGCAGCTGTTTTAACGGGGAGTGCCACTTTGAGACTGGGAGGTGCCTCTGCCAGGCCGGGTTCCACGGGACATTGTAAGTGAGCATCACGGGGGAAGACTCAAATCCCCCACCCCACCCACTCCTGTATGCACCTGGGCAAGGCTGGGCTTAGCCAAGGAAACTGAAAGGCACTTTTGCCTGCTGAAGCAAAGCAAAATGGAGCATGCGCTTTTCTTCAGTCTGAACAATGTATGTTTCTGACTTGTTACAGGTTCCTCTTCTATTTAGGACAAGGTGACTTGTGTTCTTTAAGCAAATCAACAAACACAGGAGTGCCCTGTTTCCTGTTGGGGCCTCCTTGCTAATGAGACACTTAGATCTGTGTTTACAGCCGTGTTTCTCAACCTCAGCTTGAAGCTTCAACTCCCAGAATTGCCAGCCAGCCAGGCTGGGGAATAAATCTAAAACAGATAGTCCTCAACTTGGGACAATTTGGGGAGGGCAGAAAATGGCTCAACGGCACAACCGGAAGTTTGGAAACGAACTTCCGGTTGACCCATTGGGCCTGTTTTTCGCCTTCCCCAGGCTCTAGAGGCTTTCCTGAAGCCTGGGAGGGCGAAAACCGCCTCCCCCAGCCCTCCAGAATGCCGAAAATCAGTGTGCGCCGGAGCTGGCAAATATGTCTCCGCATGCCACCTGTGCCATGCGTGCCTTAGGTTCGCCATCACGGTTCTATAGTGCTCAAGGGTAGGAGAAGTAAGGAATGGAAGCTTTTTAGAGAATTATTCAAGCTCAAGTCGGAATTGCCTGGCTGTTTGGAATTATTAAGCAGTGGAAGAGTCCTGAGGGGTCGCTCCATGAAGGTGTTCAAAGAAAGGACATTTGTCTGGGCTCGTTGGAGGAGTCCCACTCTAAATTGGGCGAGAAGGCCTCCCAGGTCTGGAGCTGGGAGGTGAGGACAGTTGTGCCAACAAATATGACTCTGTGTGCCACCTGTAGCACGCGTGACATTGGTTTGCCTTCACGGCCCTAGGGCCCTGTGCAATGTAGTGAGCTCTGTGTCTTAGTAGGTTAATCCTATGATGTCCTGGAGGGTCCTGTCTTAATCCCTTCATCCTGGAGCTGAAGGTCTTTTGTTTTGTAGATAGGGTCGCCCAGTCTCTCTTAATGGGCACAAAGTATCTGCTGAGTCTGCTTTCTGTCTTTTTAAGAGAATGAGTCTCTATTTCTTATTTAGGGAAATATAATATTCTGCCTTTTGAATATTTCCTAAAATATTTCATTCTTCTAGGAGAAGGAGGGGTGCTAACTTTCTGCAGTAATAAGGCCTAATTTCTTAATCTCAGCAGCTTTTATTTGTGTGGATTTCTGCTCTCAGAATTCCCCATCCAGCCTGCTTCCCTGGGTTCTAGATTAATAGCTGCTTCTTTTAATCCAGACTCAGCAATGGTCAGCTCCTATGCAGGCTCCCAGAATCTCTTTTGACCAACTGCCTGATTGGGTTTGTAGGCAATGAAATACTTTAAAGGAGCAAGAAGATGTGCGTCTCAGCCCTGCAAAGGTTTAATGCACCCTTCTCACTTCTGTTGGAAGAAATGTCCATCTGGGTTCAGTTCCAAGTGGGGGAAAAGACTGGAAACATGGAGGCTGCTTGGAAAGATGGTTTAATGGTGGACAGGATCCCATGGCTTGAGCTCCTGAACAGAAAAAGGGGCTCACATGCTTTCAGGTGTTGGGTGAAGAAGAAAAAGAGAGAAAAAAGGTCTTGCTGAGTGTTCCTGGGTTTTTTATACTCTGTTGGGCCCCATCTCTTTGTTTC